GCTGGGTGACTTTGGGCCAATCACTAGGAGACTGGGAGTTCTAGTCCCGCCTTAGGCATGAAAGGCAGATGGGTGACTTTGGGCCAATCACCAGGAGACTGGGAGTTCTAGTCCCGCCTTCGGCATGAAAGACAGCTGGGTGACTTTGCACCAATCACTAGGAGACTGGGAGTTCTAGTCCTGCCTTAGGCATGAAAGGCAGCTGGGTGACTCCGGGCCAATCAGGAGGAGACTGGGAGTAACCTAAGGAATTCTGGGAGTTGGAGGTCCACGCGTCTTAAAGCTGCCAGCGTTTGGAGATTCCCGTCTCCGGCGTGTGAAAAAATCTCCGCTTAAACTCTGCTTTTCAAAAGGCCACTTTTGAGCCGCCATTTTGGCTTCTTACTTTCGCAACGCATCCGCGTCTTCGCCTCGTAGACTTCCTGGGTGGAGGCGCTCCCTTCGGTTTCGCGCGCCAAGCGGCGGCTCTCCGTGCCGGCTCGGCTTTCCACTTGCTTGTTCAGCTCCGTGAAGGAGCGTGAGATGTCCTGGGACTCGCTTCTCAGCGTCTTCCCACTTCTCTGCGTTGGAAATAGCCTTCAGGCCTAAAAAGGACTCGGATAAACTTCATGAGGACTAGAACCTACGCCGGGAAGATCTTTCTCCTTGCGTTGCCTCTTTGTACGACCAGAAGCAACCGTCGTCTAAAGTCTAAACCAATGTGTGTTTCTTAACCTTTAAGATGGGTGGACTTCAATTCCCAGAGTTCCCCTGTCAGCGTGGGGTGACTGGGGGATTCTGGGAGTTGAAGTCCACCCGTTTCAAAGGTGGCTAAGGTTGAGATATGATGTTAAATCATGCAGGTTTAAAGGGAGTATATTTGGCCCACCGAGAATAACCCAAAATCAAGATGTTAATTCTTTTATGTGTCTTTTTTTAGCATCAAAAGGACAATGAATACTGACAATTATTTCTTTTTTAATTTAATCCAGGGTACCATGCAATGAGCTGAGTCTCCAGGGACCATTTTCGTAGCAAATGGAACTCCAAAGCCCATAACCAGGCAGCTGAATGGGCACCAAGGGATTTACTATTCGCCGCTCTTTACTACTGGGCGGTGGGGTTGGACTAGATGACCTACAAGGTCCCTTCCCACTCTGACAATCGAATCTATTTACAACGTCATTATGAAATGTAAAGATGAGCAGCGTTCAACGGCGTTCAAGCTTTTCAACTGAATTTACAATCCCCCCCCCCCCCCCCGGGCCTTTTCATAAACGGCTCCTCAAGAGGGACTAGCCCCTTGGCGAGCCGCAACAACCGCCGTGTTATTCTCACCACCATGTCTTTGAGGATCTTCCGCATGGGAGCCAAGGAAACCTTCCAAGCTTTTTTGGAGTTTTCAATCTGTAACTCCACCGTGCAGCTGATGGATCGCACCACTTCGCCGAGATTGTGGCGAATATTTGCCACGGGGCCTGCCAAGATGGATAGAGGAAGAAAAAAGAAGATGATACAGAGGAGGGGCTCCAAATTTTCCAAAGAGGGGCAGAAAAGGCGCTAGTCCACATTGGCAATTGAAGCTTAGAAAGCGTTTGCAGCGTGGAGAAATGCTGCCCTCTGGTGGCTGTGCCTGGAACCATGTTTCCCTCCCCACAAAAGGAGATAGAATAGTAAAACACCCTCTAGTGTCTCGGTGCTGCATTGGCAGCTTTAAAGAGAACGCTCGTTAAAAAAATATTGCGTGTAATAAATAATATTCTTTTTTTAGAACGGAGTGACTTTCTCTGACTGCGTCTCTATTTATAGCGGAGGTTTGCATAGAAGGGTCCAATTTCAGAGGGCAATGCACATTGCAGGATAAATGCTCCTCGGGGTTTAATGTGGACATATTTCTCCTTGGAAACAAATCCATCCTAAAGCAAGCCTACTTTGGACCAATCGCCAGGAGACGGGGAGTTCTAGTCCCACCTTAGCCATGAAAGCCAGCTGGGTGACTTTGGGCCAATCACCAGGAGACGGGGAGTTCTAGGGTTATTGTAGGAGGGGAAAATAGGAAAATGGGAAGGAGAGTTGGGTACGTGTGCAGTTTTGAGCTATTTAAAAATCACAAGGGGGCCAGACATCCGCCCATAAAATGAATAAAGATCTCGGTACCGTCATAGACAGTGGCTAGCATGTACGTGAGAATGTAAAGCCGTCCTTCCTTCCCTAAGAATTTGGGAACCACCAAGAGGCTGGCGCAACGGAATTGCGGCAAGGTGCCCCATCCAACGGCAGCCACGCCTGGAGAAAAGAGGGTACAGCGCAAAAGATACAAACCACGTTGGTTTGTCGTGTCTGACAACAACTCTTGCCCGCCTGCAGTGTGCCACGAATGAGCCAAAGGCATCCATGCTAGTCATTCCCAGCTCTAGGGGGCAGCGCTCATCTCAGTTGCATCTATCTATCTAGCCTCTATCTATCTATCAATCATCTCTCTCTCTCTCCCCCCCCGTCTGTGTATCTATCTATCTATCCATCCATCCGTCTATCGTCTCTCTCTCTCTCTCTCTCTATCTATCTATCTATCTATCTATCTATCCTATATCTATCATCTATCTCTTTCTCTCTCTCTCTCTATCTGTCCGTCCATCTATCTGTCCATCCATACATCCATCATCTCTCTCTCTCTCCTATCTATCCATCCATCCATCCATCCATCCATCCATCCATCCATCCATCTATCTATCTATCTATCTATCTATCTATCTATCTATCTATCTATCTATCTATCTATCTATCCATCTATCATCTCTCTATCTCTCTCCGTCTATCTATCTATCTATCTATCTATCTATCTATCTATCTATCTATCCATCCATCCATCTATCCTATATCTATCATCTCTCTCTCTTTTTTTCCCCCTCCTTTCTTTTCCCTTTCTCCTTTTTTCCCCTCTTGCTCCTGCGTTCTCCTCCAAAAAATGCCAGTTCTTACCTGCCATGCTGGCCAGCATTTCAATTTTGGTGCGTTCCCTGATGGTCATGGGGAAAATCAGGATTTTGGCTAGACCTGGGGAACAAAAATTCTAGATTTTAAGAATAAAATCCTTATTGTCCAATATTCCCATCCACCCGCCCCCCAGCAGCCTCAAAAGGATTCTTTTCCAAACCAGATTCTCAGAGTTTTCTTTAACAAGATTTATTGAGACTTCCAGCAACTGAGTGATGGATTCAACTTCTTTCTTTATGGGTACCAACCTGTTTATTTCTGTTTATCTCTCCCGGGTCTCCGTGATTTTGTGACTTACCCAACGCAAATAAAATCCCGAGTCCGGCCCCGAGAAAAAACTTGGTGGGCCGAAATTCATCAGGTTTACTCCACAGGAAGGAAATGAAAGTTTTGGGTAAGAAAAAACTGAGGAAATGCTTCAGGGCTGTGAAGAACGGAGGGAAAACGACACCATCAGTATGTAGATTTAAAGCAGTATTTAAAATTTATCCAGATTCTCTTTACACTGGAGATTAGATGCATATTTGAGCAGGGTGTGAAATGAATTTAATTCTATATCTATCTATCTATCTATCTATCTATCTATCTATCTATCTGCCTATCCATCCATCTATCCATCCATCATCCATCTTTCTTTCTTTCTTTCTTTCTTTCTTTCTTTTTCTTTCTCTCTCTCTCTCTCTCTCTCTCTCTTTCTCTCTCTCTCTCTCTTTCTTTCTTTCCTTTCTCTCTAATCTATCTCTATCTGTCTCTCTCTCCATCTCTATCTCTCTTTATCTGTCTGTCTGCCTTCTCTCATCTACCTTCATTGATTAATAGAGTTAATAATGGTGTCATATTATTAACCATATTAATTATAATAATGTTGTATTAATCATAATGATTTTGACCTTATTTCTGGGGTAGAAAAATTCAGTTGCAAATCGTGGTGAACAAAAGCACAAACAGATCCTAAGGACCCCACTGGAAAAAAAAAACATTTTCTTTTTTGAAGTTTGGAAGTTTAAAGTTTTTTAAAAGCCGCCTTAATCTTGGTGATAAAATGTTAGGGATGGAAGCCATCATTGGAAGCAGTTACTATCGCTGTGTTTGCAGTCCCCGTATTTGGTTTCCTTCTGGCCCGCTGAAGGACGGATCTGCTACTCAACGTTCTCTTGAGGACTAGAGCCTTGGAGGCTGCTTGCCCAGCCACATCTTCCCTGCTAAATCGGGTCTGTGAAATACTATTTTGTGCTCTCTCTCTGGACTCACTCGTGTTGGGGGACTTCAAACGCTTCGCTTTCTGTCCTTTCAGCCTCTGATATTTGCCTCCCATATCTTGGGGTTTGAAGGTTGACCCTTCCGCTGGCTGGGCCGACTCAAAGCTACGGCCAAGCCAGGAATTCAAATCCACCTTCAAAACATTCTAGAAACACGCGTAAATTCCGGCAAAGTCTTGATTGGAAGGCTGATGTCACAGAAGCAAATAGATATAAGAGGCTGTTCTCTATTATTTGGAGCTACAATCACTGCAAGGGGCTGCTTGATCGAAATTGGTCCAACTCCCCGCAGCTAGAAAGCTAGCATGTCAGGGAATGAACAGCTTTCTCCTGAACTGCTTAACAATTATATATATATGTGTGTGTGTGTGTGTTTTCTGAGGTTCTCACGGGTATTTGTATGTGGATCTTTGGTTATTTGGGTTTTCTCCCGCTTAAGATTGGAAGTATCTAGGCGACGTTTCAATGAAGTCTCATTCATCATCTTCAGGCTTGTGTCTTCGGCTCTGTGCTTCTTGGAGTGATGTGAGCTTGCAGCTGCTTCTTCCTTTTAACTAGCAACTGGTGGGTGGAGCCAATGCAAAACAGAGGCAGGTGAAGGGGTGGGGCTAGAAGCAGATAGAACCCTGAAGTTAACTGGCATTTCCAACCCCCAATGACAACCCTCTTTGGCCAAGCGGGTAGGAAAATAGACAACATTTTCGAATCCTAGGTTTTCTCCCTCCTTCGTTCTGCCCGTCTATGTGCCCTCTGGGTGCCCCCCCTCGGAGCTCCAACTACGCCTTCAGCCCCAGCCATCATGGGCTCCTCCTGGCCCAATTTTTCCTTCCGATGGCTGGGAAAGGGACGGAAGAAAGGCAAGGCTCGGGGGAAGAAGGCAAAACGAGCTGCACGGATTCAAGAGGACACTTTTGGCCGGGCCACAGTCCGTAGTTTGGGGGGCTTCGCCCTGGGGATGACCCTCTCAGCAGCCTACGGGGCCCTGGTCATTTTTGGCCAAGGCTATAGCATCTGGTACTGCTTGGTGTCCACCATCACGTTGGCCATCGTCCTCGGCCTCGGCATGGCGTTTTCCTTCAAAGTCCGAGTGACTGTCCTTCTCATGCTTCCTCAGTTTTTTTCGAGTAAGTGCTCCCCAAGACCCCCACCCCGCCTTCCTGGAAAGAAATACATATTAACTTAAATATTAACTTTAAAAAAAAAATACTCCTTTGGTCGTTTTAGTTGCCAGCAGAAAGGGATGGGGAAAGCAGTGCATTCCTTAAATGCCTCAGATAATTGCTAGGCAGCCGAAGCTGTTGGCATGCAAGATTATTACCGGAGAGCATGATTGGTGACTCTTGGCTATGGATGTGTCCCATTGGAGAAGATATATCCAGGGGGTGTGGGGGGAAAGACCAGGGTCAAGGGGGAAATGAAGCGCCAGAGCTCACTGTAGCAGCATCATCAAAAAGGCATTTAGAGTTGTAAATCTAATCTTACAAAGCTTCTCCTCCGGTCATATTGAATTGCTAACTAGGGCATACGAAGCCTTTGCTAGACCAATGCTTGAATACAGTTCGTCGGTCTGGAATACTCACTGTATTATTGGACATTAATACAATTGAGTCCAGAAATATTTCACGAGAAGAGTTACTACACTCCTCTGCTGGCCACATAATACCCTACATCCCCAGGCTTGCAATTTTGGGCTTGGACAACCTTGAACTACGCCTCCTACAGTTGGACCGAAGTATAGTACACAAAATTATCTGCTACAATGTCCTACTGGTCAATGGCTACTTCAGCTTCAACCGCAACAGTACAAGAGCACATAACAGATACAAACTCAATGTAAACCGCTCCAAACTCGATTGCAGAAAGTATGACTTCAGCAACGGAGTGGTCAATACCTGGAATGCACTACCTGACTCTGTTGTTACATCCTCTAATCCCCCACTCCTTTAACCTCAAACTAACCACTATTGACCTCACCCCATTCCTAAGAGGTCTGCAAGGGGCGTGCATAAGTGCACCATCGTGTCTACCGTCCCTGTCCTATTGTCCCCATTTATTCCTACCTCTTTCCTGTATTCTTACTCATGTTTATACTTACACCTATTACCTTGTAAGCGATTGACGAATCAAAGAAATAAATATAAAAAAATAAAATAAATAAAATGGCCAGTGAGAAAACAAGCAAGACATTTGGACGATATAACAGGGTAGAAAGATGGCCGGAGGTTTCACAATGACACCTTGCAGTCTGAAAGTTTGTCGAACCCCAGAATAAGACATTTTTGGGGGGGCTGATTTATAGGAGGGGGTGTTCCCCAACCCTTGGGGGTGCCCATTTCAGGGGGCTTCAGGTGGTTCTGAGGTTGCGGGGGGGGGGGAATGTGAATCGAGAAATGGATTCAAAACTCTGCCATATTTCCTCCGACAGAAGAAGGCAAGACGGTGCTTATACTGCTGGCGTTCGGAATGGCTATGGAAGGACCCTTTGCCAACATCATCCGGAATTTCAACCGGAGCGCCGACACCGTCGCGTGTGGAGCCGAACTGGCTCTCAACCAGACGGCGGAAATGCTGCAGCGAGCTCGCGAACCTCTGATCAGTGAGAAGACCTGCACAGTGGAATGAGTAGAATGTAGAATGCGGAATGTGGAATAAGAACAGAATGTAGAATAGAACGTAGAATAAAACATAGAATGTAGAATATAAAAGAGAAGGTAGAATACAAAACAAAAGGTAGAATGCAGAATAGAATGTAGAATAAAATGTAGAACAGAATGGAAAATGGAGAATAGAATATACAATATAGAATAGAATGTAGAACATAGAATAGAATGTAGAACATAGAATGTAGAATATAGAATGTAGAAATTAGAATGTAGAACATAGAATATAGAATGTAGAATATAGAATGTAGAATATAGAATAGAATGTAGAAT